CAAAGGATAGAAATCCAGTAGCATGTCCTATTAAGGGGAAGTGATTTCAGGTCATGGAGCATGAGAGACGGCGATAAAACGTTGAAGTGGCTTAGTCATTACGACGCAATCATAAACAAACAGAAGAGAGGGTTGTCCCAGAGAGCTAAGAATTCGCAGAGCTACTAATTATTAGAAGGGCGCAACTGTACACCATTTATGATCCCTAGACAATTACGACCAGCGATGACTGCCTCTAGCTGAACAGTGCACACCATATGAAGCGAGAGTACAGAAGTCAAAGGGCACGATGCCCAGTTTGGCCGTTCCAGTGGGTCTTGTTGTGAACCGGTCCAATACCGTGAACCCAGATGCCGATGTGCAGACTAAGCTACCTATTGAACTGATTGCCAGTCGGGGAATGTAAGTACTAACTGAACAACCGGACGATCAATTGGGCAGGAGATCAGCTCGGTCAATAGTGGTGCTAATCGCGTGATCAAAGTATAAGTAAAGACGGTAAGCCAACGTGCTTTAAATAGGGCTAATCAAAGCACTGGTATTTTCCTTATGTGAGTGTACAGGTCTGAAGAGAAATCCCCGAAAGCAATTGTTCACCTCTGACCCCATGCACTTAATAAGTAAATGGGGATTATCAATTTATTGAAATTTTCGATGCCGCTCTCAGTGGTGAAGGAGCTGAACCAGTTCCTTAGGTTCACCACTAGGCTTGCTGAGGCTAATTTTTCAATGATCGCATGCAGCGCGGTGAATGTCTAACCAGGTTTTAGAAACCGTTGCGGCGTGATCGGATTTATCCTACTAGTAAAACATGCATTAACCCAACGCGACATGATACAAGCAAGAATTGCCGAATTCGAACGCAATTTAGCCCAGCGCCTTCCTGCGACTGAGGAACTGGCTGCAGAAGAAAAGGAGATGTTCCTGGTGTGATGGTGGCTGAAAGTTGAGACGGAGGGACTCGCCTGCCATAGTGCGGTCGATAAGGCAGTCGATCGATTGGGCCAGTGAGTTTTAAATATAGAGCTTGTTGTACTTCGCCTCAGAGTTGTGAATATGGCGTTTGTGTTCAGAGCCGGTGCCAGCTATTGCTTTTGAAGCGGCTGGGGAACTCAGGCACAAAACATGGTGACTGAGGTGCTGACGTACCAAACTCCGCTCACATGTGATGTACAAAAGTTCATTCCATTGCCGAATACTCTACAAATGACAGAAAACACATTACCGGATATCTGGAGTGTGGAAAGCGAAATGGATGGATTTCGCTACGCCGATCGCGCTAGATGAATATCCGAGATCACATTAAATAGCGATGTTCAGGTACTGCATCGGCGAAGATGCGAGACGGATATTAGAAGCCTGGAACTTCTGTGATTATGACAAAAAACCGGATCTTTTAGAAATAATCGAGTGGTTTCATGATTATTGTGAGGGCCGATCAAACCTTTTTGTTCGTTGCTGCCGATCAGCCAATGTTAGCTCACTTAATATTGGGAGTCGGCAAGAAAAGCAAGAGATTACAATAAATAACAGGTGGGATCGCGAAGAGCATGAAAGGATTATTACGACACCGTCAATTCAAGAACGATCAGTACCGTTAAAACTTGATTCAACAGCCACCGTGAGTATATGTTCAAGACACACTGCACCGGAGTGCAGTTCAGTGCAACACGGAGTTGTCACAATGGGTGGAACAACTTCAGATGCATCCGAAAGGAAAGGGTGTGGCGAAGGTTTGCAAGAAAGCAACGAATGGACTTATCAAAGTAAGGAAGGCGCATGCGGATCCTTATGTAATGCTACTTGGAAAAAATACCCCTAGAGAATTCGGCAACAATCCGGTACAGCTTCAATTCAAGTATAAAGCAAACCGAAAGCTCGCCCGCAGTGGAAGAGGCTACGGCAACTGTAACTGCAACACACGAACTACGAAAAAAAGAAAAAAGGAAGGATGTGATGGTGGCTGAAAGCTGAGACGGAGGGGCTCGCCTGCCACAGTGCGGTCGATAAGTCAATCGATCGAGTGAGCCAGTGAGTTTTATATGTAAAGCTTGTTGTACTTCGCCTCAGAGTTGCGAATATAGCGTTTGTGTTCAGAGCCGGTGCGAGCTCTTGCTTCTGATGCGGCTGGGGGACTCAGGCACAAAACACCTGGATTATGTTCAGTTTGTTGCCAACAACCGAGTAGGACTAAGGTGTTTGGCACTAGAATAGACGTTGAGTCCGCCCAAGCCGCAAGCATAGTCCCCCAACAGTCTGGAGAAATATGTGCACACCTTCTCCAGCATGAAAATGAGCACTACTTTAGTCGAAATGTTGTCACTAGGCGTAAAATATTGTGCCCCTAGACAAAATACAACCAGTTACATTATGAATTGCAATTTGAAAGCCTATTTGGCCAAACAAAAGGGTTAACCCCGAAGTCGATTGTGGACCTGGGACGCTTTAAATGTTGTTTGGTTAACTTCTGTTATCAGTATCGCAAGTATGATGCCCGTAACCGTGGCCTAAGGACACGAAAGCACTATGAACCTCAGAAGGAGGTAAGAAGCAACAAAGATATCACCTTATGCAGACCAGACAAAGGTACCGGAGTTGTGCTTTTAGACAGAAAGGACTACGTTGACAAACTTAGTAGATTGCTTAGCGATGAGACTGTTTTCCTGCACCATAGGGGAAAGAGACCAGACGGCACAAATTGAGCTACAGATTACTAAGAGGTTGCAGGAGTTTCGGAATATGGGATACATTCCACCTACCCTTTATGAAAGCCTGAAGTCAATCTGCACGAACATCCCGAGGCTTTACAGGTTACCAAAGATTCGTAAGACCGGGGTTCCACGTTGCCCCATTGTGTCCATGGTTAATTCGCCGTGCAATGCACTCGCACAGTGGTTTTTTGTTGAAATACTTGAGACGGTAAGACAACAGCTAACACACTACAGCCTTCGGGATAGCTTCCAATTCATTAAAAACAGCAAAAAATGGCAACATCAAAGTAATGTTCTCCCTCGACGTCGTCTCCCTTTTCACCAACGTTCTGGATTACATATATGACCATATAGCGAATTCACAGATAAAGATGTGTGTCCCGGTTCGTGAGTTGAAAAGCCTTCTTTTGCAGTGTATCTGGAACGTTCCTATTCACTGTTAAATACTACCGGCAGAAGGATAGTGTTGCTATGGGATCTCCACTTGGTCCACTGGTGACTGACATTTCCATGGATAAATTAGAGCACACCGGGCTACAAAAGGAGATAAACACCTTTGAATGCTATCACCGTTACATGGATGACATCTTTCTCGTGGCCAATAAATGCATCAACCTAGATAAAGGCCTCGACCAGTTTAACTGAGCCCATGCAGCGATGCAGTTTAGGTATGAGAACGAAACAAGTAAGCGGTTGCCGTTGCTTGACGGCTCGATCCAAGGTCGTGTCTACCGGAAAACTACGTGGAGCGGACAATATACCAAGTGCAATAGTTTTGTTTCTCTGCGATATAAGCGAAATTTGATTCGCTATCTAACATCAAGGGCACAGAAGACACGTTGAATGATGAATTAGCATTCATTCAGAATATGCCGTGTGAGAATAGCTACCTTGACAGCTTCATTTCTAAGAACATTCAGGAGAAACCCAATCCTGTACCGGTTAGAAAAGTAGAGAACAACTATTCAGAAGACTGTCTTTCAAAGGTGACGCAGCTGCAGAGCGCTTATCTAAGAGCCTGTCATCTGCAGTTAAATCTACGTTTCCAGCGGCGACCCTGAAGTGCACGTTCTCCACAGAACCGCCCATTAGTGCGCAAAACAAGGACACGCTGCCGAAGCTGACTACTTCAATGGTTATCTATCAATTCGAGTGCGCCTGTGGCACCACTTATATCGGTCGAACAGCGCGGCATCTGTCAAAACGCGTCAGTACGCAACACCCAGGTTGGTTACGTCAAGATGGCACTGAGACTAGTAATAGCTTCATTTTGGCTCACCTTGTGGACACTGGGCATCAAATAGACGTGAACAGTGACTTCCGGATAATCTACAGGATCCCGCCGGTGCAATCGAGAGGCCTACACCTCCACATGCTTGCAATAGCAGAAACAATCGGTAGCAGGTTGCTTCAACCTCCGTTATGTTCTCAAAAGAAACGAATCCACACTCTGCAGCTTTCTTGGCCAGCGAAAGTAGAAGACGCTGAAGCCAGTTATGCTGGTTGGAAAACGCAGTCGCCCTAGCCTAGATTGCCCGTCGGTTCACGAACCTGGCGGGCACGTGATTTGATTCAATTAAATTAATCTGAGCAATTATAAGCCCATTGCTACTTTCTTTATGTGATTGTACAGGTTTGAAGAGGAATCACCGAAAACAACAGTTCACCTCTGATCCCATGTTCTTGATTATTATATGAGGATATTCAGTTTGTTAAAAGCAGAAAAACCCGCATCAGGAAAAGCACTGGAGAATAGTTTTGTCTGTGCCTATCATCTACCGGCCGATCGAAATACAAGAGGCACAGTTGAAAGTCCGTTTAACAACACTGCAACGTGGCGGATGTGACTCACCACTGAATAAAGTCATTGCCCACAACTACATACTGGCGAGTCGAGTAGTCATATATCAATATTTTCTTGACACCTTCAAGAAAAGGATACTCAGTCTACATCTACCGTCTTCAATACATTTATAGTGCCTTCACTGTTTACACTACGCACACTTGAACCCCAATTATCGTCATCCACTGACGACTATATTCCCCATGATTACTTCTTCAATTTCCGCAGCCTGTACAACTTTCGGCCACTGCCGATTACATACATATCAACGTGTCTGTAGCAAAACATAACTGCTTGTAAATTTTGATCATGTCTGGTTTGGTGTGCCTCGATAAATTGGAGAACAAACTAGTAATTTAATTGTGATAACAACAATGAGGCAGCATTCAAAACAGCCATAAAAATTTGATGAGATATCTGAATAGGCGTCATCAATTTAAACTGACCATAAAGGATAGAACGCCCCAGATGATGGCGGCGGCGTGAGCCAACCACTCGTTGTCCGATCGGAAGGAGAACGTCTTCATCCTCATTGCGGGATTCGAATGTACGACGACTGGTACTCTGTAGGTCAGATAGCTGCCAAGCCACCAATCGAACAGCTGTGACAATGAACAAAAAGTGAGTGAGCAGTGGTGGTTGGATGGGAATTTAACGAAAACAAATGAATAAGGTAGACCTCAGAATTAAAGACGACATAAATATTGACATAAGTATCGAGGAATAGACATTGAGGTATTCAAAAGCATGGAATCAGAAAAATAATGATAATAACATATGCGCCTAAAAAATGAACCAATAATGAGTAGAAACAAAGACCAGCAGTAGTTTTTGTCTCTCACACGCCATTATCGAATTTGTTAAAGCGCTAATGCCGTTTGAAATTGGGAATTCACGCAAACCTGTGCTAATTAGTTCCACTACAACTAGATCTTCGCAACTGCTTCGAGCGTTGTAAGCCACTGACATTCTTCATGGCGGGAAAATGTGCGCGGTCAGCGATGATTAGGCAAGATGTCTATGATTTCATGTTTTGTTGCCAAGTGGTCGACTGATCTCCACGCGGCCTCATCCAGTGCGGCCCTGCGAGCGCCGGTACGCATGCGTTGGACGTGGCTAAACTATCTCGATTGGCGCAGCAGAACAAGGTAACAAGGAGGATGACTCGTCTTGACTAAGATACGGTGTTTTACGTAATAACTGCGCACTTGACGTTGCCACCATACATAGGTGATCTTCCGCAAACAGCCTCTGTGAAAAACCGAAAGCCTATACATGTTATATACACGGCTCGGCCAGGATTCGCGTTGATACAACAGTATCGCGCAGACACTAGCATTGTAGAGCTTGCCCTTTAACGACAGTGAAATGTCACGCCGAGGCCATACATGCCTCAAGTCTGAAAAGCCGGTAAAGCTTTCGCGATCCAAAGGTTATAGGGTTAGAGTTAAACTAACCCCAGTAAAATCCAGAGTTTGGAAAATCGAAGCCAGATGACGCCACAAAAAGTGAACTAACATCACGTTCCGAGTCGACTGTGTAACTGACTGCAGGTGGGTATGCGGAGTTGGTGTGTTTTCATCAAAACGCACGAATCTTGGGTTTGTTTTGTATAACAGAACACTGTGCTTGTCGCCCAGCACACAAAACGCAGAACACCTGTGAAAAAATCGCATCCTATAAAAGCACACGTTTTAACAGTCATATAGTGGTTTTGTGCTACTGGCAGTTACCTTCTTGTCCGGAGTACTTTGCCGGCTTTTGTGTTCACTTCGCCATTACATACTACTCCGACTAATACCATGTGTTCTGACAGTACAACGGCACATTAATCAAGAGTCTTTGGGAACCTATCTTACTTGGATCATCTATTATGACCATAACAGAAGAGATACCTTCACTTCAATAGTGCCGTCAGCAGAAATGCAGCTCCCTCGGTACACAAAACTATCCAGGTGTTCAAGCTGTAGGCCCTCGATGGTGAGCTGAGGAAAGGACGATTGTCAATGCTGTAACAGTAACTTTACACTTGGAGGGGACAAAGCACATACCATGCTTAGACACTTCAATCACCAGTCGGTCAAGGACTAATTGCATGAAAAGAGGGTTGTCACTAAGCAAAGCCATATCATCAGTGAAATCTGTCGGTTGCGTGATCACTTGGAAGGAGCTCGATGCCAAAACTCTTCAGCCCTTCCAAAACTCCCAATAGGACGCCCTCGATCGCAAGGTTGAAAAAAAAAGACTATACGGCATCCTTGTCGCATAACACTGGTAACAGGGAAGAGTGCAGAAATATTTTCGTAGGATGTCATCCTGCTTGAAGTATGGAAATATAATGCCCAGAGTATAGCGACATACTTTTCGGGAACTACATTCTTTAGCAGGTAGGTCGCTACTGAGTCGAATGCAGTGCTCAGGAAGCCGACGGCGGTGGGTCTGCGGTAAAGATGATGATATTCAAGGGCCTGATGAAGTGTATTTGATCCACACACCGCCGATCGAGGCGAAGGTTGGCCTGTTCCTCCCGATAGTGCGTTTCACGCGTTGGGGATAGCCTGCGGAATATGATGGACGCTGGTATCACGCATGAAACCAAAGTCAGACTGTTCTCTCTATGCCTCGCATATGGAGTTTGAGTTATCATCAACATCATCATCATCATCATCACCACCATCATCATCACCACCACCACCACCACCACCATCATCATCATCATCACCACCACCGCCATCATCATTATCATCCACATATTAGCTGAAAGTGAGAAACACTATTGTGCCGCAATACATAAAGATAAGATATACGAAAAAGCAAGATAGTAAAAATTACAGAATGCAAAAAGTGACGCACTACTTAGTAGTATATTATGCGTCAAGGTCATAGTTGGAAGGGGAAGATAATCGAGATGGGGAGGGACAAAGAAACTCACAACACAAACGCCACTGAGGTCGGCTCCTCATTATGTCAACCAGTGTACCAAAACAAACGTGTTTATCGTTCTTCGGACCCCAGCCAGGCAATCGCGACACACCAACCGACACCAACTTCAAAGTAAGGAATTCCATTCCTCGTGACTAAGTCACCGCTGCGCTACCACTCTCTTACTTCCGTCCACACTCCCGGCGCGCAAACAATGCACGACGCGGAAGTCGATGGGCAGGCATGCGCAACACGCGGCCTAGCCATCGACGTCTGATGCGTGATATAGTGAAGCTGAGAGGTTCACTCGCTCTTCCTGCACCAAATACATGACGCCACACACGTTCACTGCCCACGCGGTGCTCCCACTAGACATGAGCTAAGATCCGTAAGTAAAAATGATTGAACGTATAAAGCATCTTTATGTCTGTCGACTTTATGGGTCAGGTTTCGCAATCAAAGAGTAGGGCTGAACAAACGGCCGCATTGTAAACTCTGCTCTTCAGACCAAGAGTGAAGTTGCGACGGCGCCACAGGCGGCGGAGATTGGCAAAAGCGCCTTGAGTTTTTGCTATGGGGTTTGTGATCTCAGATTCCATTGCATTGGCGCCGATAAAGCTGCTTAGATAGTAGAATTCCTCGACGACTTCTAGCTGATCTCCACCAAGCGTCAGCGCAAGGTGGATCTCTGCCAATCTTGGAGGACTTGGCAATTCGAGGGTGCAAAGCAGAGCCCGAAGCAACTGACAGCTTATTGCGCGACCGCAACTGATGAACGGCGAGACACAATCTCGTGACAAATTAGGCCTGCGGCAGATCTAGCGATCAGTTAACTCACTCAGTTCATTGTCGCACGCGTTGCTATGGATTCGGACGTAATCGTGCCTAAATCCGGACAGTGGAGACCGTGACCAGATTTGAATCTGTCTAGACAAGTGACGTGAATCAGCCCAGTAACGGACAGTGCATGTGACCTATAAAGTTAACCATGCTCGGAACGACTTCTTCACTTGGAGTATGCTGATGATATTGCCCTAATCTGTGACAGCTCACAAATGTGCCAAGCGGCACTGGACAGATTAGCACTGGCTGTCCGTCACTTCGGGCTTTGCTTCGCACCCTCGAAGTGCAAAGCGTTCCTCCAAGATTGGTCTGGACCGCCTCCTACGCTGACCGTTGGTGGGGATCACCTAGAAGTCGTTCAAAAATTCAACTACCTGGGAAGTTGTATCAGCGCCCGTGGGATTGAAGATGAGATCACGAACCGTATAGCAAAAGCTCGAGGCGCTTTTGCTAACCTTCGCCACTTATGGCGCCGGCGCGACATCACTCTTGCCCTGAAGGGTAGAGTGTACAATGCAGCAGTACGTTCGACCCTACTGTACGGTTGTGAAACCTGGCCGCTTAAAGCAGCGGACCTGAAGAGGCTAGTTACGTTCGACCACCGGTGCCTTCGTAATTTAGCTCACATCTGGTGGGAACACCGCGTGAGCAACGAGCGTGTTCGACGCCTTGTTTACGGCACAGGAAAAGGAAATGAACCGCTCAGCACCGTTATTTCACGCACCAGGCTCCGATGGCTCGGCCACGTGTTACGCATGCCAGCCCACCGACTCCCGCGACGTGCGTTGTTTGCGCGCCGGGGTGTGGATGGAAGAAGAGGAGGGTGGCCAAGCGATGACTTGGTCGAGAGGAATGAAGGCCCTCACTTCTGAGCTGGCCTCGGTTGGAGCGTCTCGGCTCCCTGGTTGGGGTCCGAAAGACGATGAACACGTTTGGTTGGACACACTTGCTGATATGGCTAGGAGCCGACCTCAGTGGCGTTCGTGCTGTGAGTTTCTTTGTCCCACCCCATCCCTCTTAGCCTCCCCCTCCAACCACGATCTCATTATTTAGCCTTATATAATTTTGCATAGTAATTTTTTTGATGCACAGTAGCCGGCTGGTAGCTTACCGGAACGATGCCCATCCGTTACCGGTAGCTCAGCCGGCTTGCACCAGTTAATTCCTTTTTTCCTCCTTTTTCTGTGTATTGCGGCACAGTAGCTGAGGTGTTCCCCACCTCTAGCTAACGTGTATGATGATGATGACAGTGGTTTCCTACCAGGTCTGCGACAAAACAGAGGTCCGCTAAATCACTTGTTGACGAAAGACAACTTTTGACAATGGACAAGGGAATGCCAGCAATCCCTTGACGCAGTTAAAGCAGAACTCACTTCTGATCTACTCTTGACTCATTTCAATCCGAACTTAGAAATCCTCGTTGCCTCGGACGCTTCCAATTATGGTATCGTGGCCGTTATTTCCCACCATTTTCCGAACGGAGGAGAGAAAGCCATTGCGCATGCAGCATGGTCACTAACGTTGGCTGGGAAGTACTATAGTCAGATTGAAAAAGAAGCACTCGCGATCGTTTTCGCCATGAAGCGGTTCCAAAAGATGCCCTATGGCAGGTATTTCATACTACTTACAGATTACAAACCATTGCTGTTTATATTCGGTTCAAAGAAAGGAATTCTCGTTTTTACCATAATTCGGTTACAAAGATAGACGATTATACTGCTGGTGTACGATTTCAGCATACACAGAAAATCGGCCAAGCGAATCCCCTGTGTCGTCTCATTAATTCGAGCCCAAAGGAGAACAATGATTGTGTGATTGTAATCATCAAATTCGAATC